AGTTTTGTGGATGGCTGATGTTTGTATCATTTGAACCATTGGATAATGGCAGACTATCAGCCGTTGCACAACCGGTCGTCAACCGGTTAACTCGTCCTCTACTTCTGGTTCCATGGGCGTGTCTTCGCATGGTTCAAATACCGGATTTTCTATTCCACCATCGACACTCACTATATTCAATGGGTAGCGTTCTTGACCTTGCGTCTCCCATGAAGAGCTTTGTGCCGAAGGCGGGGCAAGAATGTAAGCTCTGAAACAGGCGTAAAGCATTGAAGAATAGAATTATGATGAAAAAAGTACTGTAGGAGTACTGTACTCAAGTACTGAAGTTGGGTGCGCCACGCATCCGCAAAATTGCAAGTTTGATTGTGCCATGGGACTCTACTGAAGTGTTGCCTAAGGAAACGTAGTGAAAATAATTATACCTAACCTAAAACCGATCCTGACGACAAATGTCCCACTAAGGGAATATGAAAGACTAAATGGACCCAGAGAATCGCGATACACGCCCGTTCATTGCATATGGTAAGCATGATCTGGCGCACATTGCTCGGCGAAAGAGATCTGTACTGCTGCACTGGCTATCACCTTCCCTTTAGCTGGAAACCACAACGACCTCTGAGCGTTAGTAACCGGGGGGCGGGACCATTTGAGAGACTCTTCGAGCAACATTGGGACAAACATCATCCTGAAAGAAGTGCCGTACTTGAGGTTGGTCCGCCCATTCAAGGTCGTTCTCCGTCAAAGTATAGGCAGGAACCTCTTCACGACGACAGTTCTGAGTTCCGCAAAGAACCCTTGCCCCTCCTCCTTGTTGTTAGGTTATTAGCGTAGAAGGCGGGGAATTAATTAGAAGTAAGAAAACTGAGAACTTAGCATTCAGTGGACCGTTTCCGTTCCCTGGTACCAATTTTTTTCCCAAATTAGTGCGATGAATAGAAACACTATTCTGTGAACCAGGATTCTTTGAAGCCAACCAAATACAAAATTATAGCGCTGAGGCACAATCCTCGTTGATCGTATGGGCGGAGTTAGGCCCACCATCTTGTCTACATCACTGTCGCCCTCTCCTCTTTACTGCCTTAGGAATGAGGGGTGCACCAAGAGGGGATTAACATTGCTACACGATCGACGCGACTGTGCCTTGAGCAGGATTAACATTCTGATCCCTAATCGCCATACGACGATCGAACGGCGACTGTGCTTTGAGCAGCAGTGCATTCATAATCCCCCACGAATCTGAATGGAAATTAAGGTACGTGGCGTATTCAAGCAGGACGCCTTCCGCATTCTTTCCCGAACTGCATTCGATTGTTTTTGATTCAAGTTCTCTGACTTACCGGACTTTTGTGGAAGAGAAATCACAATCAAAAGCTGTGGTGATGATCAACGCTATGGCAAAATTCCGAACCGTCGCGAAATCTGAAAAATCCAAAATTACTTAGTAGTTTCAACATGTCAGAAGAATTCGCGTGGTGATCAACGCGCTAATCCAAAACGGTCAGGTTACTTTATCAAAAGAGAAGCAATCAGTAACCGCCCCTTTCTGCTCTCAGATATGGACTCACCGATGTCATGTGATCCTGTCGACGGCCGCGAGAGAAGGACACATTCGCCATCATCGTAGCGCATGCCATCCCGACAAAGACATTGGTAGCCTTCTGAAAAATCGTCAACTTCAATGATAGCCAGTTGTGCAACAGTCATGAAGGGCAGTTATCAATCGAGGATGTTCCGCAGAAATAGGTTCCCTCGCTAGTGTTCTTGACAGCTCACAATGTGGGCGCAGATTCGGCTTGCTCGGGGGGGGGGTATCTTGTGGAGGCCCTTAAACTCTTATAGTCAACATGAACTATCAAGAGGAACAAGTGAAAGCACAAATACCCACTAATGGGAAATGCAAAATTGAAGACTTCCTCTATCGATGTCTTCGCCCACGCAAATGAGCGCGGAATATGCCTCTAGTTAAAGCCCCATTAATTCAGCAGGAATGACTTGTGAAGGCAGTGAATTTTCCCATCGCAACGGTGGCTTGTTGAGACCTGTAGGGTAGGGCGGGGAAGGCGGGGGGCGTGAGAGGATAATGAACCTGTTTTAGCCAATAAATTGTGAGTACGTCTTTTCCTGGCAACCTATATCAGATATTCTCGTTTGAGTGCCGCCTCTCTTGGTAATATTAGGGAAGGGGCGCCCAGTAAAGATGCGTTATTGCGAGTCTCCGCCCACTTCCCCGCCCACCCGGTTGGAGCCCTATTCAGGCAGCTTTGTCATTATGAGTACTGATCGGTCAACAAGCCAGTTGGACTCACGTCTCGTATTCGACGGCACACAGAGCTGTACACAAGTGCTGTTACTTTCACATGGATTACCCAAACTCTTTTTCGGCCATTTTTCCGGATGCGAAATCTGAAACAAGACATTTCTGTGAAAAAAAGTCCAAAGAGAAATAGAAAGCGAAAACCTCACCTGGATGCCTTTCGGATGACTCAACCCAGCAATGACTGTGCTTCGATTCCCACCAGTGTATTTATGGATGCGTTCGATGGTCCCCTTGGAGAAATCCGAGAAATAGACAAAGTCGGCAAACACGTCCAATCCGTGCAAGCCACGCCCCATTTTCTGTCCAAGCACGTGACGATGTGTACCATCATAGTTGCAGAATCCTGATAAACATCACATCAAAGAAGCTGTGATTGACTTGGCTGAATGAATGACTTGAAAGGTTTTGAGATTTTCCGCTCTGTACCCAGCACCCCCTTGGCCATATTTGAAGACATATTCTACGAATATTCCATAGAAAGAACCCCTCCTGTTACAAACGGACCGGTCTCCAATTTAAAAGGATGTTCCAACTTCGCGACTGATAGTGAGTGACAAGGTTGCTGCGATCGTCATATTCTGGAAGAATGCCATCCTCGAAAGTTGCCCCGCCCACGTGGGTACGAGATTAGCCGGCGATTCTATACCCGTACATGTCAGTGTATTCCACCTCTGTGGGACCGGTCCCTTTTCTCTTATCCTGCGTCTCTGGCCTCTTAACCACTTAGCAGTGTCGCTTTTCTTCGAATGCTCATCGAATTCTGTTCGTGAGGGCGTTCTGGCGGGTTAGCCCGCTCTCAATTAGCGACAGGTCAATTGGCATTTACGAGCTCATGTTTGGTCCAAACGTCCGCAAAATTCAATCGCGCGGTATGACTTTAACCCGAAATTACGACCGAACCCGTAAGCAACTTTTGCGGTAATCGCAATGGTATCTCACTGATTTGACGCGAAAATGCAACTGCAGGCCAAGTCAACTAGCTAGGAAACGCGCTGCGGGCTAGCTCCTGCGTTTTGCCACAATGCGGACCTTCCAACACACTTGCAGAATTCTAGGGGCATTTCAAGTATACTGATTTCTCTTGCAAACTACCAAATTGGCCTTACCCAGAATAAGAGACCGCCTCAATTCAACCCTGCACAGCTCTACACCAACCAGAAAATTGAG